AATAATTTCTGAGAAGACGTCCAGCTTCTAATCAGAAATGGCCGAGATAGCTACTAATAACGCATGTTCCAATAAATCATAAACCGGCGATTAATAACGATGTCACGAGAGATGGAAGAAGAAGACTGTTACTAATCAACAAGTTCATGAGAAACGAAGCAATGACAGAGAAAGTTACGAATGAAAAATCAGAAATTGACGGACCCAGCAACTATTAACGAATGAAAAATCAGAAATTGACGGCTCCAGTTACTAATAACAAACAAAGACTTTTGTCTTGAATGGCCTTCCATAACAAACAACCATACCAAGTTTCGTCAAAATCAGTCGAGAATTGTGCCTTGTAGAGTGTTTACGAGCAATTACGGACGGACCGACGGACCGACGACAATATACGCGCCCCATTTCATGTGGGCGTATAAAAATTACAATTTCGTAGATTTTTTGTTTTCTGATATTTTTGTCCCTATTTTAATCTAAACAATTTCTACCAAAGGCCTGTCCCAAAGTAAGTATTTTTAACTAATCAAAGCGTGTAATGTAACAATGTAAGCTATTGTGGATAGCGAAAGAGGCTGTATACAGTGGCGTTTCTAGGAAACATTAGTTTCTTTCACTTTTGTAAATTGTTAAAAATTTTGAGGAGGGGAGGGGGTAGCGTGGCAAAGCATGGCATGGCCATGGATTGTGTTGTGACCATTCTTATGTCCCACTGTTCTTCCAAAAATTAGCCCATATAAATAAAACCAGGTTTTTAACGGCTACTTATTCAAGTAATACTCCAAAATAAGCAGCGAGACTATGATTTTTTGTCAAATGAGTAAGTATTCTATGCCTTTTGTTCTTACAGAATTGTTTAAAAGTTTGACGTCTGGAGTGCAAGGGAATACACAGCCTGGTGGCTCTGTTAGAAGTCCTGCATCATCACCATCATCCGTCAAGGCAAGACGTCCACCCAAACCAACCATCCTCGAGACAGTAGAAACTTATTTTAAAAGTAACCAACAACAAAATTCCGCAACTCAACCTAAAAAATCCCTCCTGGATAAACTAATAAATCAGTTTAAAGCTCAGCCCGCTGCCCCCCCTACTGCCAGTACTAGTAATACATTCCCTGTACTTCCTGTAGTTCATGTTCAATCTCATCCAAGCGTCCAAGCACAAACTGGTCCAGTTGTCAGAACCCAAGGTCCTAATTACTCTTATAATCAAAGGAACGAAGTCTCATTTGAAAGTTTGCCGTCTCCGATCAGTCAAATCCCGGCATCTGGACCATCGCGTTACACGAACTACAATTTTCCCTACGGTTTAAATAATATGAGGGAACTATCGCAACCCGTTTACCAACCAATACCCACCAATCTGGATCAAACATTCTACAACCCTTCGCAAATAGTGCCTCAAAATATCGGTAACGTGAGAACATCCAACGCTGCTTCAGCTGTACAGCTCACGATTACCAACTCCAACTCACCTACATATAATGCATATTCTCAGCAGTCTCAGCCCTCGAATTATTATAAACCAGCATTAGAATCTATGGCTAACAGTATTCCGCCTCTAGCTTTTAACTGGGGTCGCACACCACCCCAATTTGATAACCAGAATCCACCACCAAGACAATCTTCTTTAGCACAATATTGGTCGCCACAAATTCAACCAAGATCACAGAATCAACAACCATCACCAGCACCATTGCCTTCAGCACCATTACCTTCAAGGCCGATCTTCTCCAAGATCAACTGGGATAAGTAAGTTATGTAAACGTGTCTTACGATCAGTTAGAAATACGTTTTTACAAACGTTGTATACTGAGTTTTGTCCATTCGATGAGCAGTTATGTTGCAACGTGTCGAATCTTGGCGTGCAATATAGCATCTGAAGCTAGTTGTTGAAAGTTCAGTCGACTTGTCTGTTTTGAACCCCCGAGAGAACCACATCACGTTTAAGCACAGTCCTTATCACAATGGTTGGTTGTCTAGCATCAGTTGGCATTCTGAGCATTAGTAAGAGTTTTAATTTGAAATGATGATTTTATTTTGTACTTATCATAGTAATAAAACAATTGTTTATTCAAATCTTGGAATACAGAATGATTTTTTTATCGTTTCAGATTACAACTCTATTAATATAACATAAAGTAATTCACGTTGTTTTATGTTGATGAATAAAAGTTTTCAATCTGTTGATGACGTTTCCATCACTGATATCAGTAGTCAGTGAATTAAAATCCAGGCCACGTATTCTCGAAACGATCTTAGTGCTAGGATGTCCTAGAATCAATTTTAGAAGGTAACCTAGGACATCCTAGCGCTGAGATCGTTTCAAGAATACGTGGCCTGTAAGATAATTATATGAAAGGTATTGTTCCATTCCAGTTGATATTAGCACCAAACCACCTGTAATGGTTGTACATAGAAACTTTATATCATATCACAAAGAAAAACAAGAACTGAATTTGCTCTCATAACATAACATAGTTGTGGACAGAATAAGTTGAAATGGAGTAATAATGTCCTACTTTTGTCAGGGCAATTGCCTAGAGATCTTTAATGTACACATCCTCAAGCACATGGGAACATGGAATATTTTTCCGTCTTGAACGACATGGTGATTTTTCAATATCAGTCCCGTACCTTAGGGAAATCCGATATGGGATATGCCGTGATCAAGGTTAGTGAGCAGGCATCTTTTACTTACTTTGTACATATACATTGTTCTAGAGGTGGGATTTTCTTTTCGTCTTCTCTTTGAGCTAATCTGGCTGTTTTGGGTCTCCGATGATTCCGACTGAGTGTGTCTGAAAGCAAAGCGTGATATCATTTTGATCGATAAAAATACCACCACCAACAAGTCATTGGAGTATTAGTAGCGATTTCTAAAGGTAATGAGTAACAAAAGGTATTCCTTTGCGTGCTTCACGACAACTCCAAAGATGAATCTATAACTTTCGACCACATTCAATACGTAATTGTAATTCAATATACTGTCGTTTGAGACGTGCACAAACTCATAACGTCAAAAGACTATCTGGCCACTATGTCGTGGTACATAGAAAAGAAAGGTCCCCCAACAACAATCTCTGAGTGATATCAAGACTTACCTATAGACAGGACTGTTTGTTGATTTTGACTCAGTAATCCTGTATAGTAATATAACATAAATCTGTGTTCAACTCTCCAATCACTAATTAAATCCAGATTAGTTGAGAATATCAAGCCAATCTGATCATTAATCACTGTCAGCCATATTGGATGTTTTGGTGTCTTCAACATACTACCAACCTGTATCATAATTTCTACATAGGATACCGTTGTTTTCATGAAATAAGTCGCTTAGACAGATGATTGGGGTTTATGTCCATCGATGGACTGACGAAGTACTTCAATATCTCAGTATATCTATACTAACAGGGGAACAATGGTGGTTCTATGCTTGGACGCTCGCTGTCACCCTTGACAATGATGTAGTCGTAGGAGCGGACATGGAAAAAGCGAGGCCCCGTATGCTACAAGCTGTTGGAAACTAAAAAAGTAGGCTAATGCAGCTTCACGTGAAAGTTCACAGTTTATTATTTATAAATTACGTTTCTTGATCAAGGTAAATTGTCGAGGTGCGCATGAGGCACGTTGCTATCAGTTGTATTAAGGTCTACATTAAGTTTTACGTTAGAACTGAGGTCACCGTACTAAAGTCTGAAAGTCAATACCTCAGTTCGTTTGTCCTCTTCTTTTTTATTCCAATAAAGCATTCCGATGCTACTTCTTTCCTGGACACCGTGTAATGGCTTTGGCTACAGATAAATCATTGAAGCTGATTACATAGAATGAAGCAAATTGCTTGATATCTGATACTATCTATCGTGAGTTCCCTTTTCAAAACATAAAGCACTCCCCACAAGGATATGTTACAAATCCATTGGTATCTGGTACGCTCATGATTTCGACAATCAAAGGTTTGTGATTCTACATTCATTTGCTGAATGACGTTTGTTTTGCAGCATGCATTGTGAAAGGATATGTAACTTTCATTTAATTAAATAAAAGTCCATTATCTATATTTGATACTCACTAATAATTCACCACGTTTATCATATATTATATCACCATTATGTACATATTGTACAGCTTTACCAGTTAACAGCAAATTAATTGAGGGTATGGTACAGCCTTCATAATCATTTAGTAACTGTACATCTTTATTTATATCAACATCCATATCTTGTTTGATTCTGTTTACAATTGTAGTATATTAAATAATAACAATTCCAGGATAGGGTGTGCGATCGGGTAGATGATATCGACCTTCTCAACTGCCGTCCTTAACATAATCGCGATGTCATTTGTCTTAAAGGGACAGGTGCACCATTTTGGGGGTTGATTTTAGTCCTCAGAAGTACAGTCAAGTAACTCAATTTCGTGGAAACCTATTATTCGTGTATTTCCGGAAAGGATTAATAATTTACATGAGCGACCTTGTGCGACCTCCGTTTTTTTAACTTTGACGAAATTCTGTGTTGAATCCTTATATCCACGAAAATAGGTTACACCACTGTACTAGAAAAGTATGAAAATCGCATTATTCCTATGTCTTTGCTACATATCACAGAGTATCTTAAATCGGCTGTGAACACTATTACTGGTTGGCTTAGCTAAAATAAATTTCCGTTTTTGAGACTAAAGTATGATTGGTCAAAAACAAAAAGCGCACTTATCCCTTTAACTACCCGGGAGATTAATTGCCCTTGAACATTGGGTACAAATTGGGAACTAAAGAGACACCTGTCAGGTTTGAGATTCAAAAATGCGTAAGCGCTTTTTTGAAAAAGAAAAAAGTTGATTCAGACACATATTTGGGAAAATACTATATCGCTTTAATCAATAATAAATAATACTGGTTATTACCTGGTGACAGATCTTGATAATATAATACTATATAAAAACAATAAACATCCACAACCATTTAACTTCGTAAACTAGAAATATTATTATTCAACAGATTAGATTTCAGGTCACAGAATGTAAACTCTTTGTGAATGAAGTCTCTAGATGCTACATCCACAAAATCTTTCACGATGTTCACGTTTACAGATATAATCTCAAAAACCTAAAACGGCTTAATATATTTCCAAATTCATTTCGAGTGCTTACGAAGTTTTGGAACATCAACGCATTCTGAAAAACTATCTAGTTCTGTTTTAAAAGCGTATGTCTCTGTTTAGTGAAACCATTTACACGTACCTGGTTCAGGTTACGTTTTAAAAATGATTTCGACTCCTCTATTGTTTTAAACTCAAATATATGTAACTGAAATAAAAACAGAAAATGAATATATATATATATATTGGTGTACATGTATATAGAGCCGGAACCTACAGTGATGTTAAGTTGTGGCTCATGAAAACAACTTAATGGGCAAACGTCTAACAGGCCCCGGATTTAAGGGAATTTGACATCATTTTAAATCAATTGCTCAGATGATCAGACTGCCCAGTCTTCAACCGTTTATAATGAAAGAAGTTCCAATTTAAGTTGTACCTTTTCTGTGATATTATCATTACGGTATCTGTAATCTTTATCAAAACATACATCTTCTTGTAGTAAACATATAGAACACTGTTTTCTATTACCTACCATCCATAATATCTCACATATACTGTTAATTAATGCTTGTTCTCTTTCAGATTCACTTGGTTGTAATCGACTATCAATTATATTATATAAAAATATTATCAAATAAATAACTTTATATTATGTCTTATAGACAACCAAATTGAGTTTGGATTTACATTGACTTTGTAAAGCATATTATCTGACTAATTGTATGGTAGCTTGGAAGACACCCAATGCAACTTTTTCTGGCATTTCTTTCGACAGACCATATAGCTAATGTTGCTGTGTATCGTCATTAGATCGTGCGTGAACGACACAAATCAACCCCCCTCCCCACCTTTAACCCGTGACTGTATTGGGTGGTGGTGGTAGTTTAAAGTATCTTAAAATTGTTGGATTAGTTGTTGCGTTGGAATAGTATAGAATATTTCTGTACGTACCCACTTTGGTGAAAAAGTTCTGGTTGAAATAATAAATATTTTAATATATAAGCTTGTAAACATAATATCACCCCTTTACTTCCACACTACAGAAAAGTGAAAACAAAATCTTAGATGGAGTAACTCATTGGCCGAAGCGGTCACTATCTGAACCTACAGGCACCATGGAGACTGGAAGAGACATAAGCTCTCTGTGGCAGCACTTAGTCATTATGCGAAAAGAGAAGGAACATTAGCTCTCTGTCGGCTGTACTTACAGTCATCACAGGACAAGGGAAATGGCTCTGGCTCTTTCTAGACTTCGGCACCTAAGGTTACAGCTCGTGGCTCATGAAAATGATAGGGACGTAGTATTCTAACATAATGTAAGGTTGCTATGGTACCAACCTACCAACCTTGCCAATTGGACGCGTTATTCGTGTTTGCCCATCTATCATGTCTTACAGTGTAAAAATAACTCTTTAGTCTTTCAGATCAAATGAAAGGACATTTGAATAGTACAATACAATACCCTTTGTGTTTGTAATCCATAAGGAAATGGACTGCCAAGATAGTGGAAAGTAAGAGACGATTTCTTCCAATCAGAACTTAATGAATGAATACAGGATCCACTAACGATATTTCTCAACTCCTAGAAATGAAAATAACTTGCCAATTTCAAGGAAAAATATATGTCGTTGCTAAAACGTAACCGAAAAAGAAAATTCATAATCATAAACGCGAAGTAGGTAAAGCATCTTCCGATCTTATAAACGACAATGTTTTAAATTTAAAAAGAAAGTTCAGATCAGCAACAACAAATGCCCTGGAAATGTATTGAAGCCAGGTTATATAGATGAAGCTTACCATGGCTGTATGTATTGTTATGGGCTGTCCACCAATGGAACCCCTTCTGTTACACAGTGTATATCCTGATTTGATGCCATAACTTGAAAACTCTAAAAACCAATCATAATTGTTTCCTTTAATACAGTTTTAATACACCGAAGGTAAGATGGTACGAAACCTGTCGAGGGCTTACTGCCAGAAGTTGTTGTATCCAATTTTGATGCCAGTGTTTGGCAGAAAAATGCAAGTCTCTTATCTTATTATGTCCATACGATCTAAAACTTTCCAAAGCTACCAACGGAACAAACTGATTTCCGAATTAAAAAATGAAGAATGGATTGAGATTTATGAACATAAAAAATGAAGAAACCATGACAGAAATGAAAATAGCTCACCAGCAGTCAGATTTTCTCTGTTTTTTCTCCATGTTCTAAAATCAAAAGCTGGTGGTTTGGGTTGACTGATAAGATCTGATGGTACTGGTGATTGAGTCTGTTTCTAAAAGTGAAGTGGTATATTATGGTGATTTGATCAGCGGACTAGTCATGTGTAAGGTGTGCAAAGACATTTAAATGAAATAAATGTAAACCTACGACCTAATTTTCTGTGGTATTTTATGTTTGTTTTTTATCTCAGACCTCCAACCTTAATACTCTAGCTTGCCAGCGTATCACTCCGACTTTTGTAATGCAGACTCCAATTTCATACATATTTTACACATAATTTCTAAATCTCAGTTTCGCGAAATTTGTTCTGCTCTGCAAGTACGAAGCAGATCCTGCTCCGACTCTTTTCAAAGGGATAGATGAGTCATTTTTTGGACCAATCATATTTTTAGTCTCAAAAACGGGATTTTGTTTAGCTAAGCCAATCAGTAATAGTGTTCACAGCTCATCGTCGGAGTTTGAGTCTTCAAATCCTTGTATGTCTAGAATTATACTGACATCTATAGAAATAGGAAAATAAATTCCTAGTCTTTAAGTATTTTTAAAGGAATTATGCTATTTTCGTACATTTTTAATACTTCTGAAGATTATTTACATATATTCAATGCAAGATTCCAATCAAAATCTAAACAAAATCCAGTGATGATCATTTATAACATTATAATTACCTTTTGATCAGCTCCAAAGTGGATGCTATCTTGTTCTAAAAATCTCAATAATTTAGCCAACTGCTCTTGTTCTGACACTGCTGTTCCTTCTGCCATTTTTATTTTCAACGCCCACAGTATACGTATTGTACATCAATTCATTTTACCAGGTAATGACAACACTTTTCTCTATAGATCTGTTTATTATTCACCTATAATAGATCTTCAGAACCAACCATCAAGTACATCTTTAAGAGAGGTATAGACATACCATAATATTGTTGACACATAATTGTCTTGAGTGTAATAAATCATAAAACTAGTCATCAATAAAAGGGTTAATGCGAATCTTTTAAAATTATCGCTGTAATTGAATTCAGTGGCAATTTTAAAGGGATTCAAGGTTCATACAGCTGTAGTATCATTTTCAAGATGGTTAATTACGCCAGTCTTATTCTCCATCTGAAACCCTCAAGGAAAACGTCATTAATTTCTTTGATACAGTCTCTTCAATGTGAATATGACAGAATGGCTCCGAAATTGCGAAGTTGAAAAGTGGGCAATCTCGAAAAACCTTTGAAAACTTGAAAATTTAATACCATCTGTTGCTTTTGATAGAACTTTTTTTTTTATTGCTTATATGTCTCGGAACGCGCTGAAATGAATCTTTTGCTTTGAGACTTTGGTTGCCCGATGGTTGATAATTCCAAATCATGTAATCGCACTACAGGATGTGATGATGAAAGTTTATCTGTCATGGTATCTTTAACTTGAAGATTGGTCTTATAAGACTTGTTTTATTATACCAATAACATTTAAAGTGTAATTAAACCACCTACTAGTACATTAGACAATATAATCTATTTAGGCTTATCTTATCATTTATAATTCTATAAAGGTTTTAAGATAATTCATGAGTTCAGGCAAAATAAACTGTCACGCCTTTCTGATCGAAACCTATGAGTCATAACCTTCATCATAGATCTGCTTTTCATTTTTCATATCCCTATTGCTTCTTGTAGAATTTTGATTTAGTCTCTGTTGTTGAAATGAAAGAGACAGTTTTACGTCCTATTTCTCTGCTCCAGATTTGAGGAAATATTGCCAGAACGCCAGCACAATCTGGCTGTTTTTTTTTTTTTATGTCAAGCTGTCTGAGGGACGTTTAACAATTAACAGCACATGAGGTTTCATTTTATTGTCCCATCCGATTTGGATTGACCACTGTTGCAGATTGTGATACTAACTTTCCCGGTTGTCCTCTAAATATTTATGAAAATAATGTGGTCTGTTGGACTTTGATGTTCCACTTCTCAATAGATTCAGTGATTTATTGAATAGTGAACAATGACCTACTCAGTGATAGTTGTGATATTAGCTTGACGTTTATGACATTGGCAATCCACAAGCTGATTAGTTGTGGTAGCCATAACCGGTTGTATATTCACATTTTTGTCAGTTTATCACGTATGTCTCTATTCGAGTATAAGCTTTTTGTTAAATGTATAATAGTATTCTATAGACAATGTGTAAGTCCCATTGCAAGCCATTGGTAATATAAAATTGTTGACAATAAATATGACTCTATATTACATTGATTGCATAATAGGCGTTAATACCAAAATATATTCCCTACCTTTCAAAGTGATTGTTTTAAAATGTAGACTAAACCTCAACGAAACGGGTCTGTTTTAAATGGTTATGTTATCATTATACAGTTATATTACACCACCTAGTTTTTACTATACTGTACAGTAGGTCTGGGTTTAGTGGACTATAAAATCTCAATATATTAATATAATAGTCGATATGAAATCGGATCAAGATCAAATAGACCTTTACATTGTCAAGTATATTGACTACAAGGTATGTGGATTACAGTTTCAAACTTGAAGTCAATGCGGATCCAATGGAGTAAATATACAGAAAAATACAAGTATACCTAGACCAGTTTGAGGCGGAATTATGTCAAATCAATAATTTGACGACATCAAAACCAGTCAGTTAGTATTTAGTAGATTAATAACATCATCTTATTAAAAAAAACAACTAAAGAAACAAAAAAACTTCATTTTTAGTGAAGGCCTGCTGGACTTTTCTTAGCCCTAAATAGGATACATGTTACTTTGTTGTCACAAGCTGGTTTAGACTTATACATGTATATTGCTTTTGTAGCTGTTGCCTTAGGACTGAAACCCTGATTGACAAAGTAACACGCAATACCTTAGTTTTCAGTTTAGAATAAGTTCAGTTCATTTCCTACGATTGCGCGATACTTTGAAATCCAATGCCCCTATTTTACGCAACACTTTATATTAACTAGAGTTGTCTCCCCTTTCTTCCGGTTTAAGAGAAAAATGTCGGAAAAAACATAATAATAACAACAAATAAAAACAAAGCTTTTATTCATTTAAATGAATGAAATAGTAAACATGACATTAATTGCGTCCACCAGCAGGTTTTTCCGTCTGTATATTTTGAGTCCAGAGGCTGTGATAGTATTTTTTATTGTGCTACTATTGTACAATTCTCTTTCGCATGTAAAACCATTGTTTACTGTTCTTCAAAAAGCTAAAGTTAAATTACAGTTGAAATGGCGTGGACAGATCGATAAACAAGTAGACAAGCAAAATGAAGTTGAAAAGGAAAGAGCATCTTGGCAGCTAAGAAAGGAAAATGTTGCTATTTATGCCATCCAGGGTAGAAGACCACATATGGAAGATAGATTCAATGTTGTAAATGATTTCGAACACACTAATACATCAATATATGGAATATTTGATGGACATGGTGGAGAGGTACAATAGATATAAATATTGCCATAAATATTATTTTTTATGTTTGCACAAGCAGATATTTATTGCATTTCAAAGTGTTTATAATTAAGCATATTAGAGTATCTTGTGTATTGATAAGCTTATTATCTTATGCTATAATTAATTAAAATGAGCTAGCTAGGATTTGAAATTTCACCCTTTGCTGAATACACTTAATCAAAAGAAGCAGTACTTGACTAAGCAATTGATATATTCTGATTCAAATCATAATTTTTAATTCTAGCTTTTTTTCTTCGCATTTATATTTCGCCTTTATATTGATCAATTTATGATTTATATTTGAGAGATGTTATTACAGATGGTGATTTGTATATTAATCTAATTTGGCTATTTAATATGAAATTTTTTTGTTATAGTACATCCATTTTTTTATTGATCTTATATCAATGAATATATATACTTTAGTTTGCAGCCGAGTTTACAGAGAAAACCTTATTTAAATGTTTAATGGTGAGATTATTAAAACTAACACTGGGAGAAGACAGTTCTAATAATGTCTCCAGTATAATTACAGAAGAAATGTTAGAAGTAGATAAAGAATTGTTACAGTTGGCTAAAGCTAATTTAGAAATATCCGGTAAGATTTTTCAACAACCAGTTTGAACTGTCTTGCCTTTGTAAAACCATTTTCTGACAGGGGTAAATCAGATTAGTTTTAATTAGATTCGCATGACCCTAAAAAGCATTTTCCTTGAAATCAAAAAATCTTTTTGACTTAGAATTCAAACTCATGGCAAAAAATCATATAGCAAAACAAGCCATTAGTGTAAGAGTGTTTGATGGGATGATGGAAAATGAAGAGAGGATGTGTGTATGTGACTTTGAAATGATTTATTTATTTAGATTATTATATTGTAAGAATAGATATTTCAATATATCATTCCATAACTTCTATGTTTTGTAATGTTACAGGAACGACAGCTCTAGTTGCCTTAATAAAAGATGGGATATTGACGGTGGCTAATGTTGGAGATTCAAGGGGAGTAATCTGTGATAAAAATGGTCAAATGATTCCATTGTCTTTTGACCACAAACCTCAACAGGTATGGTGTATTTTTGAAACAAAATTTGACAGATTATATAATGGAAAACTTGAAAATAGCTGTCATCTGAAGTGTTTAAGAGTTATTACCCTTGACTAGATTGCAAGCTAAAGAGAAGCTGGTGTTAGTTAATCTGAAACCAGTTGGATTTTGATTTGACTGATGCCGTTTGTTACCTGGCAAGCTATCTTTTATACCAATGAATTATTGTAAGAACTCGTTGATAAAATAAGGGGTGTTTTTGTTGCTTGGCAATTATATCCAGCCTTTAACGGTATTTTCTCTACTTTATGTTAATTTTTAGTTAAAAGAAAGAAAAAGAATCCGTCAAGCAGGTGGTTTTATAAGTTTTAATGGTGTATGGAGAGTAGCTGGTGTTCTAGCTACATCAAGAGCTTTAGGAGATTATCCTTTAAAGGACAAAAATCTAGTAATAGCAGAACCAGATATATTAACCTTTGACCTTAGTGACCTTGAACCTCAATTTATGATATTAGCCACTGATGGATTATGGGACTGTTTTAGTAGTGAAGAAGCTGTAGAATATATAAAAGAAAGGTTGACAGAGCCACATTTTGGAGCTAAAAGTCTAGTATTGCAGGCCTATTATCGGGGTTCAGTTGATAATATAACAGTCATGGTGGTCAATTTTAAACTCAAACAACTCTCTTCATTTGGCATGAGCGATTGGTGAAGTTTTGAAGGGGAATGTCCAGCTTGATGTCTCGTTTGTTTGATATCCTGTGCTGGTCATCAGGATAAGGTCTTACCTTTCAATCTTATGCCTAGTTGCTTCAAGCCAGAGCCGTTAATTTTCGAAAGATGGTCATTAAAGAATATGTGGCTCATGCCCTTCATGCAGTCAAAACTATCAGTTTTTCACAGAAGTAACCAATGATTGTGAAGAATATAACCCTATTTAATCATGCCTTAGATCATTTGGCATTACATTTTGTAGAATTATGAATTGTTTTATATATTATAGATTATGTCGAGGGCATGTACAGAGTGAAAGTAATATTAGGGGCCAATATTAGTAATCTTTCTGAATACTAGTTTAATCTCAGACTGTGCTGGTAAAGGGTATCTCAAATTATTATGTCCATATCATTATTTCTTGCTGTATCCAAGCACATGCTGGATCTCACACATTTAGTCATTGGAGTTGCTTTTATATTAGAGATTCAGCTTAAAAGAATAAACAGGGAATTTCTTTAAAAGCCCTTCAAAAAATAATAGTCTATTTTTTTTTTTGATAAGAATGAAATTGTTAAATCATTGTTGCAGAGTTTGAGTGGAATTACAGGGAAATAATTTAATATCAAAATATTTTCAATACGTGTGTATATATCAAACTCTTTACTGTCTCCCTATGTTTTATAGACAATACTTTCTCAGGAAAGATCTATTACAATGGCAAGATTCTAATTATTTATTTTTATGAAATATGAATTCATCATATTTATTTTTATTTAGAGGATAATATAATGTCTCATTTTATCTTGCAAACATCAATTTTAATAATCTACTTTCGCTTTCATATCATTCCTAATTAACAATTTATTTCAGAACTTTCTGATCCCCAATCAAATTGCATGTATAAAAAGAAGTAAATCATCCATCGAGGGTCTTTTCCTGACATATGGTCTTAATTTTTTGAATGGTGAAACTCTACCTTTGTAAGCCTTGCCATGCTTTGATTCTTTTATTTTTCTTATGTAAAGAGATGTACTGCTGAGGTCTTTATATCCTTAACACATGTTAAGAGAATAGGATAGATAAAAACACAGTTTTTAACCACCAATGTCGTTCTGAAATATCATTTCACATTATTATAAATACAAGACATTTTTTAGAAACATTGCTAATCATAGAATAGATTTGCTTCTTTGCTAAATTACCAATCTTGTATAAAAAATATTTTAAACTATATGAACAATATATGGATAAATCTTGGTGCATTTTGTTTTATTTATTTTTAGTTCTAGTCATTTTACCTATGTTATTGTTTGTATTATTTTCTATTGTTTTCTAATTATGTTGTAATTGAATTTGAATGTGTAGTGCTATAGGTACAAACAGTCGTTCTAGAGCAAGACACCATATCAAAAATACCCCCTGTTTGAGAAAGATATTATTTGCTCCAATAGACACATTAAATCCTTTTGGTACACTGGAACAGTAAATACGTTCTACTGGTAACTACAATCTACTATATTTCTTTTACTTAATCTGCTTACTCTTTTCTACTTAACTTGAAATCTAGGTCTTGTATATTATCATAACACTGCAATGAATACCATTAGAAATTGTATTAGTTTCATAGATTAAGATCACTATACCATCAAAAGTTGAGAAATGGTGCTGAGTAACATGTTTTCTTTTTAGGTTTTATTTTAATATTTCTAGATAATTAATCATGATAGTATCTTTGAACAGTTAGCCTAACGTTTTAATGTTTCAATGAAAAAATTACGTTTAGTACACGATTATGAAAGGGTAGATATAGTATATGCTTTTCACATTTGAAATCAAATCATTCTAGTTATTTTCACAAATATCTGTGAAATTTTTAAACAATGTATATTATTTTAATTATTCTTTAGAACATGTTTTATTTTTGTTATTAGATATCTATTTCTGACTGTATTGTTTACAAGTGCAATAAACAATGGAACACTATAAACTGAGAAATATCATAATAAAAATATTAAATTTACTTCAGTAATTTGTTTTTGTAATGGAAACCCCATTCACATGTTAAGCTACACCAAAATTCTCTGTACTGTCCACAGCAGACAAAAGTGTCCATCATATGCATCATACCTGTCATTCAAAGAAGAAATAATTTGAATGCTTATAGAGCTCATTTTGTGTGATATTGTTAAGTGAATATGTGACATTATGATGTGTCTATAATCAAATATAGCACACCTACGAACAAGACAATCTCGCTTTTAAGGCCTAGGTTTTAACAATTTCCATGTTACAATGTCATATGAATTATCTTTGTCTAGATATTTACACCATTGAAATATAAGAGTACTGTCAGTTTTGATAGTACGTTTTCCTTCAGGGACATTGATTTTCATCACCACTGAAGGGTTGAAAAAAGATTCTTGGTCTTTGGACTTATTATCAGAGATAACTTTTCTTATATTTTTAATCAATTGAAACATCAATGAATACTTTATACTATATATGAAATGGGAATTTTAATCATGATTATATACCAACAAAAAATATAACAATAATCCCATGAAAAAATAAAATAATTAGTTTCAAAAAATGATCATTCTTGTTTGATCTCCCTGATTTTCCAAGCTCCTATGAAATATTTTATACGTATCAATAAAATATCTATTCCCATTTCAATCCAACTAAAAACTGGCACCATCTTAGAACCTTCTATTTCGTGCCAGGTAACTGCAACTTCACTTATTGGCATCTTAAAATACTGAGCTAAAAACAATAAATCAACATCAAAGGCCCATCTATTTACATGGAGATTAGAAAACAAAATCTCTGCTGATTTTCTTGTTAATAATTTGAATCCACATTGAGTATCCCTGACACCACGAACACACAAAAACCATACAAGGAAATGAAAGCCATACATAAGGAATGTTCTAAAGATGGATCTTTGAGCTTTAGATTCTTCTTCTAAATGTGCTCTTGAACCACAAACAACACCTAAATCATTATTGATAATTTTGTCTAATTCAGTTTCTAATTTTTCATAATCAGCAAATTTACTGGCACCATCAGCATCTGCAAATAACAGGTGTCGTCCTCTGCTTACTAACATTCCCTTTCTAACTGCACCTCCTTTTCCATGATTCTTGAAGAGTGTCAATACTCGAATTTTGTTTGAAGAATAATCTTCACTGTATTTTAAAGCAACTTGTGTAGTTTTATCCTTGCTGCCATCATCCACGACTATAATTTCATAAGAAAATCTAGGATAGTTCTTCTGCTTTCCTTTCAAGAAATCCAGGGCTTCATCCAACATGATAGGCAGACGTTGCTCCTCATTATAGGCTGGCACAATAACTGATAGATCAATGCTCGCTGCATCTTTAATACTAGGGAATTCTTCAGATCGAGTACAGTCAGTAGATGTGTAGAATGTATTTTCTGTGGTATGGAAAGCCAGGCTGGGATATGGTTCTGATGAAACATAAATGACAATCAATGCAACAACGATAATAGCAATTCCTGCAATCAAACAGTACCAAAATAGGTTTAATAACAATTCACAAACCATTATAACTAGTCTGCTACATTAATTTTTGAGAAAATAAAACTGCATTCGTGGATATCACCGGTTGGTTGTTGGATTAAAGGTGTACAAATACAGTGATTGCAGCATACAAACATGTCTTGATCAACTGGACCTATTTTCGTGGTTTACTGGTCATAGGCCAAAAGACCAAATGATCAAGGCTTTATTTTGATCACGAGAGTGATCTTTTCTTCAACGGAAATTACGTCACAAATATAATTCTGGGAAACTCAGACATGACCCCGATTCCTACGCTAAAGTATTTTAGAAAATATTATTCGTGTCCTTAAAGATACAAATTTTGCACATATTATATCAGTTCACGGTCAATAATTGATAATTTATGATACTTAATTTCACTTTCGAAAAATTTCAATCAGTTTTTCTATTTTTTTTCGGAACTTCATACACTTCTGTGTGATGCGGCTCAGAGAGGTTTCATGGCGATCAGTTTAGGATACAGAAAATTATATACATTGATAACAAAAGATGCCATAACAAGCTTCAAACCTTAATTAAGCCATAGTTAATCCGTCAAGATTATAGTGGGATGGCTTATCATTTTTAATTAAGTTCGAAATTTTACGAATTGCTTGTTGATTTTCTTAATCTTTGGCTCTGAAGTTGATAATATAGAAGTTAAAATGTCGAGTGGTTTGGGAAGATCTTCTCAAAATCGGAAAGATACCAAAATGCGCATCCGTGCGTTTCCTGTAAGTAATTAATTATGATTTCCTTGCCTAGTATACTCAGTTATATATATTTTGCTTGATAATTGCCAGTTTGACATACATTTTGAGCTTATAACACTGTTATTGTCTGTTGTAGTTTTGAGAGGATCCAAATATAAACAAATGACATGACAGGACAAAAAAGATCTAAAAATAGATCTTATTATGATATTAGTGTTTACATCTATCTTCTATGATTAGTTTTCTTTTTTAAAGGTTGTTTGTTCTTGAAATATCTAGCCTAGATTTAATTAGATCTATATTTCTATGAACACAAACTGATTCTAAGACTAACAATTACCTTACTGGTTATGACTTTGAGCTGATAGACTATACTGATAATGATATTGCATATCACTACGTATAGGAAATAATCAGTGAAATACGACAAAAGTACATAGACAGACAACCAAGCATGACTTGACATGACTTCAATGAATTGTTGGTTACAGTGACTGAATGAAAAGAACTAAGTTATAATATTTTTAGTGCAATGAAATATGAATAATAGCATCCATACATATGTAAAATGTAGACTAATTTAGAGTGACCTTAGTACTTGAGACAGATGTTATTGAATGCTTTACAATTGATCAAATTCCGTTATATATTGTATTTGTGGCCTGAAATTGAAAATCTCAATGTAAGAGAGATAAAATGCTAGAATCTATTCACCCATATCAATCTTCCCTAGCTACTCTTTCATATAGACGACATTTCACAAAGTTATTTACTGGTTCAAATTTAATTGATCATAATAATTAGCTCACTCAATGTTTACCTAACATATCTGTACTAGTTCCTCAGACATAATGATATTGATATACAGATAGTGACAAAATCACTACCGTATATCACGTCTGAGGAACAGGTAAGACAAGATTGATTGGGCAAAACACATGGTTACACAGTCAAAATATGTAACCTGCTCAAGAAATATTAAGAAGTTGGAAAGTCCAACATGTTTCCAGAACACAAAGACACCCTTTCTTAGATATCAGATATGTATGTAATGTCAGTTAAAATTCCGTGATGCCATTTCATCGACTTATGAAGTCATATTTTTATTTCTTTTGTTACTTGGCAACTACCAAGGAAAGTGACATCACTGATTTTCAACTGTGATGTCAATACTTTTGATGAAAAAATTTTAACATGTTTTAGACAAGCTTATAATAGACTTTTTTTTTAATTTTGTAGATGACTATGGATGAAAAGTATGTGAATAATATTTGGGCATTGTTAAAAAATGCCATTCAAGAAATTCAGAAAAAAAATAACAGTGGTCTAAGTTTTGAAGAATTATATAGAAATGCTTACACAATGGTCCTCCATAAACATGGTGAAAAACTGTACACTGGATTACGTGTTGTTGTTACAGATCATCTTATTAATAAGGTATAATTATTTATCGGTATTTGGCTGTTTTCATTTTCAATTCCTTAATTTTCAAAAACCTAAACTGACTTAATTTGGTGCTCAAACAAGTGGTGAATGGGATAATTTACATTCTATGTTAGATTTAGATTTTGGATAAGTCTATTTGGAATATGAAAATGCCATCAAACTTTCAATAGATAAGAGATGGAATTCACAGGACCATACTGTGACCATATGTTCTTTTAGCAACAACGTATAACATTTATCCAACCGTTGCTTCCACAACCCAATAATTTTATCTCATGGATTGGTCAGATATTTAGTTCTGGACATCACTTATCCATGCCCATGCTCGTGTCTGGCTATGTGAATATCTCCTGAAAAGGAGTTAACAACTTTTGAACTATGTTTAAGTCAATACTTCCCTATAAGGCTGGGATGAAACAGTGTGATAGCTCAGTTGATAGACAGTTGGATTGTCGTCTGAGAGTCTATTACATGCTTGAACCATCCTATAGGTAAAAACAATCCTGATTCCACTGCTTGTGCTTCTGAAAGTCTACCCAGTGTTGTTTTAAGTTGTAATCAAATTTGATAATTTTTATTTTTAAGGTGCGAGATGATGTGTTAGCAGCTTTAAACAATAATTTTCTACAGACATTAAATAGTGCGTGGAATGATCATCAAACATCAATGGTGATGATTAGAGATATATTGATGTATATGGATCGTGTTTATGTACAACAGAACAATGTAGATAATGTTTATAATTTAGGTTTAATAATATTTCGTGATCAAGTTGTACGTAATCCTATTATTAGAGATCATTTACAAACTACTTTATTAGAAATGGTGGCCAAAGAAAGGAGAGGGGAAGTGGTTGATAGGTAGGCTAATTGATATACCCTTTTCTTCTGATTTTTCGTCTCCATTGTAATTTAACAGGATTTGAAACACATTCTTGTTTTTATGTTAAAGCTATATATAACAACCTCCTAACAGCCGATATCGCAAAATTTGTTGTTTTATAGATTCTTGGTACACTCTTAAAGAAGTATATATTGAAAGTATTACAAAGTGACCGTTGTGAGCAAATAAAACATAAACATGAAATATTTATTTTATAGGGGTGCTGTAAAAAATGCTTGTCAAATGTTAATGGTATTAGGTATAGATTCTAGATGTGTATATGAAGAAGATTTTGAACGTCCCTTCCTTGAACAATCTGCTGAATTCTTTAGAGTAAGTACTAGATATACTACTTTCTGCTAAATCTTATAAATGTATCATTTTTATACTGTTCTCATAACTTCTCCTTCTATATTTTCTGCATTTTGTTTTACTTCTCTACTGTCTTTCTTTTCTTCTCTTATTGACACAACAGCAAGAGGTAAATTCTTCTTTTGTTGTTGAATTCTATTTTGGGTTTTATTTTCTTTGAAGTTAAACATTAATTTATTTCAATTCCTTGATATTTTCAATCTTCTTTTGTCTTTTGTGTATATATTTGTCGACAAAGTTTGAAAAGTGAAAAAAAAAATACTTAAAAAACTGAAAAAAGGCTGAAATCAAAACTTTAAAAGTCTTGAAATTGAAAGATTTATAGAAAATTTTTGATGTTCTCTATTGTAGATGGAAAGTCAGAAGTTTTTAGCTGAAAACTCAGCTTCTGTATATATAAAGAAAGTTGAAGCTAGAATTAACGAAGAAGCAGAACGAGCCAGTCATTATTTAGATAAATCAACAGAAGAACCTATAGTCAAGGTAAGGGTCGTTGGATTGTGTTTATACAACCAATCAGAGCCTAAATTGATAGACTGGAAACAAAATGGCTGTACACTAGTGTACAATCCAATCATATTGTGAAGATGTGGACTGCAACTATTTCAATCTTGTCAGTAAACAAATATTTCTGTAATTAAACCATCCATTTCTATTCTATGATTATGAATATTTAAACAAAAATGATTGTTTTTGTAGGTATTAGAAGATGAGTTGATAGGCAAACACATGAAAACTATCGTAGAGGTAAGTTGCTATTAAATCATTGTTGAAATCACCTTTTGTGTGTTGTTGTCTCTTTGTGATTTCCTTCAGTGTTAAAATTGTTAATGAAAATAGATCGATAGTTGAAACAGGATTATTTATTTGGATTAAGTAATTAAATTGAATTGAAAATAAGATTTTGATTAAAATTCTATTTTTAGATGGAGAATTCTGGTGTTGTTCATATGTTAGAAAATAATAAAACTGATGGTAAGTTGTTTGATATTATTTAATAGACATTAGATTTATAGCATACAAGCTAAAGGATTAGAATTTCTGGTGTTTATTATGTAATTGTATTGAAATATATCGTGATTGTAAAGTGATTGATTTGTATATCTATAACGTTATTAATATGGTTGATCTTTGAGATTTTACAATGGAATCATCCAAGGCAGACATTTTTCTGTAGTCTGTATGATTTCACATTAAATTTTAAAACCTTTTTTTTTCTGATTTTTGATTTAGATCTTTTCATGTATTCTATGTATTCCCTATACATAATATAAATAAATATATATTTTCCATCCTAGATTTAGCGTGTATGTATAAATTATGTGTGAGAGTGGCTAATGGTTTAAAGACTATGTGTAATTGTATCAGTAAATATCTACGAGAACAAGGCAAGGCTTTAGTTGTTGAGGAAGGAGAAGAAGCTAAGAATGCTATCACATATATACAGGTAAAAGGCAACATATTACAATAAGAAAACCAAATTCATTCAACTACATCAAAGGTTATAAGCTTTATAAAGCTAAAATGCAAGAAGTCAAGTAGCCATCCTAGATCATTTCAGATGTTCACTAGTGAAAAGTGTCAATGCAAAAACAAAGCACTACCAGTGAAATGTGTCTGTCATATGTTATTCTAGATCACAACAAACTACATTAAACTTTCTATATGAACTCTCATTTGATTATGTTAGCATTATGCTTACTTGTCAGAATCACTGTGAATTGTGGGTTTATATTGAAGGTAAATAAATTGCTTTGCCAGGTGTGACAAATAGTTCTATTTTATTTGTATTTTCAGAGTTTATTGGATTTAAAAGACAGATTTGGTCATTTCTTACACGAATCATTCAGTGATGATAAACTGTTTAAACAGATGATATCTGGGGATTTTGAATATTTTATTAATTTAAATGCCAAATCACCAGAATATTTATCACTATTTATAGATGATAAATTAAAGAAAGGTGTAAAAGGGGTAGGTATTTAATTAATCTATCTTAGGACCAACTGTTTCCATAACGTGATAAAGTATGCCTGATTTAAATAGATAATCAAACTTTTAGGTATTGTTCAAGATGAGTTGTGAATGTGGTCTTTTTCTACTTTTTGAAAACACTTATATTTACGCATGTAAAATTGTATTATGTAATATTTGGTATTGTAGATGACAGAACAAGAAATTGAGAATGTATTAGATAAATCTATGGTGTTATTTCGTTATTTACAAGAGAAAGATGTATTTGAACGTTATTATAAACATCATTTAGCTCGTAGATTGTTATTAAATAAAAGTGTCTCAGATGATTCAGAGAAAAATATGATCTCTAAATTAAAGGTAAGCAAATATTTACATTCACCAAAAACCAAAAATATTAAAAACAGTGGAGACAGGTTATAGAAACTAGGTTGGGGTCATTGTAAGGGTTGGTTATTTATTACTGCCATTAAGGTAATACTCTTGTTTTTATTTTACAACAATTTTGTATTGTAGACTGAATGTGGATGTCAATTTACATCTAAATTAGAAGGAATGTTTAAAGATATGACTGTATCTAATACTATTAATGAAGAATTCAAATTATTTGTACAACAAGCACAGGTGAGTTTAGAAATTGTGACCTGCAAGGTTTTATTACAATTATTTATCTTTTTGAAATTAGCATATATATATTTGGAAGTAAACCATTTGTAATAGTTATTCATTGTTATTGAAATTGAATTTGTAATTATAATAATCTGTATATATTTAGGTTAATTTAAGTGGAGTTGATCTAACTGTAAGAGTATTAACTACTGGATTCTGGCCAACACAATCTGCTACACCTAGATCTTCTATACCATCAGCTGCACAAACAGCTTTTGAAGCTTTTAGAAGGTTGGTATATTTAACAGTTATTTTACCTCAAAATATCTTAAGTTTTATACATTGCCTTCTTTAAGAGATATTAGTATCAACTGTTAGTAATCATCTAGTAAGGTTGTTTGTTACATTTGTGTTTACATGGTATGACAAGTAATTATGTAAGTACGAGAGCATGTGCATCTTAAAAATCTATTGAGTACTGAAAAATCCTTTTTTATGTATTGGATCTAAGGTCATTTGACATGTTCAAAATTTCTTATCAAAATCACTCAGTTTAAGCTTACAAGGTAGTAAAACATTCAACAAAGAAAACCTGTCTAATTCTGGTTGATTATTTAACAATCCTTAAATTTCTTACAGATTTTATTTAGCAAAACATAGTGGTCGCCAGTTAACATTACAACCTCAGTTAGGTTCTGCTGATCTTCATGCTACATTTTATGGTCCAAAAAAAGATGAAGGAGAGAGCAGTAATGGAGCCAGTGCCAAGAATCCACGAAAACATATTTTACAAGTTTCAACCTATCAGATGTGTATATTAATGTTATTTAATAATAACAGAGAAAAATGGACATTTGAGGTATGTAGATCTTTAGATTTTCATCGTAAATTGTTGATATCAAATATAACCCATGATGATGTGATGTGTTTTATGTATCAGACATTTATTATAAGCATTACTTTTACTAGGTTGAATGTTAACATTGCTACATCATGCAGCTTCATCTATCAGATGCTGTGTCTCATGTCATTGAGCTTACAAATATACTGGATTTACTGATAAATGTGTGATTATATTACAGGAGATCAAAAATCATACTGATATTCCTGAACGAGAATTAACCAGAGCTCTACAATCTTTAGCTGTAGGAAAATTGGCTCAGAGAATTTTACATAAAGACCCAAAAACTAAAGAAATTGGTATGTTAACTTTATTCAGTTCAAACTGGTGATAGTTTTGTCAATTATCCTTGGATATTTTATATCTTATATTGGTGCATAAGACTTTAGTTCCTACTTTGCACTTTATCTATTCCAGGAGCTTTTGTTGCTCCTGTCTTTAAATGAATTTCAACCTGGCAGCTAGGACTGTATAAAATAGAAATAATTCCATTGGATTTATGTGGTCATCACAATCTTTAACTCAATTATATTTAATATTACAGAGGCTGGTCATATATTTACAGTCAATGATCAGTTTACATCCAAATTATTTAGAGTCAGAATACAGATGGGTAAGTCTGAACTGAACTTTATTTATAGTCTACCAATGGAAGTTTTTAAGTTACCCTGTTTTTCTCTTTTTCAACTAAAGCAGAAAATGACATATTTATCCCTTGACATTGCGACCATTTAAAGTCAGCTGATGTTTTCTCCTATTGTCCTTCTGAAACTAATTGTACAGTATAGCTATTGTAACTTTATATTCATGTAAATTAAAATATTCATCATATATTTACAGTGGCTACTAATAAAGGAGAAGCTGAACCAGAAAGAAAAGAAACCAGAAATAAAGTTGATGAAGATAGAAAACATGAATATCCTTTGTTAATTCTCAATTTAAGAAAATATATATATTCCAGGCTATTCCAGGCTATTCCATTATTTAATCAGTTGCTTGGCCACAACCATTTAGCCAAAGAATTATCAATTCTGATGACAAACCTTTTTCACAGGTTCATAAATATTTGATCTATTTTAATGTATGTGAATTTGCTTCAGTTTTAGAATTTGTATTTGTATGTGAGTGTCTATAATTCCTTGACTCTATCCTACAATAGAAGCTGCTTTAGTAAGAATAATGAAAGCTAGGAAAAAACTTCAACACAATGTCCTTATAGCAGAAGTAAGTAAGACTTATATTGTGTTAGTGTTACGAAAGTTGAAGATTATATTAAGACAAAGAAAAGGAAGCAATCTAATAAGACAAAGAAAAGGAAGCAATCTAATAAGACAAAGAAAAGGAAGCAATCTAATATGGCAATGCACCGTTTAAATGAAATGTCACTTTTGGCTTCATTAAATTACTACTATTACCATTTCTATCTCATATTCTCATACTCTCATGTTATACATACATGTAGATTTACCAGGTCTTATATGTTATATATCTCTCTCTTAATTTAAGTGTACCGAAATGTTAAAGCCACGTTTCCTGCCTAGTCCAGTTGTTATAAAGAAGAGAATAGAAGGTTTAATAGAGAGGGAATATTTAGCACGATCAGCAGATGATAGGTTAGTCATTATTCTTCTACAGTCTCTTTACTCTTTAAACTTTTGATAAAATCTGAGAGAATCTAAGACAATCTGGTCAATTGTTGCAGTCGCTATTGGTTGCTGTGTTCTATTTAGGGTCATAATCTGTGACCTTCAAATTGATTCCAGTTGTGAGCAGTAGCCTTAACTGGTCAATATCGGCCATTTTTCATACAAGAAATTATTATTTTCCCATCCAAAATGCCTTTAATATTTCTCAAGCAAAGACCATTATTTGTTCAGATTGATCTATAAGTTACTTAATGAAATAAGTCCAGTAACATTTTCACTCTGAGGGAAGAAGTAATAAATTCAAGTCTAATATTATTTTACTAGGGATAAATTTGATGTAATTTCTATTTACAGGAAAGTGTATACTTATGTGGCCTAATTGTGATGTGAACTTGTTATAGTTATAAACAAAAATAAACAGTCTTATTTATATGACATGTAAATATTTTAATTATTGAACAGAAAAACAGGAGGATTGTTATGGTGGATTAACACTGTGACCTTTGACGCTCTGCTTGATTCAAATAAAGGAATTTATTAAAGTGTGCTTCATTAACGAGTGTATATGAAATAATCAGGAGATATATCACCATTGCTCACCGCTATAGTATAACATTCACAACAAGTTACTGATACTTCAAGTCTTCTTACTGTACTTTACTTACTTTGATATGAATTCCCTTACTATACCTCACAAGTTACTTGAATTTCTATAAAGAAGTGTTTAAATGTTGAAATATGACAGTTTAAGCATTATTTTTAATTAATTTTTAGTGGAATTGTTCAGTTTTCATTGTCAGTCAAGGTAATATCAAGCCTAATTTTAAATTCTATATTATCCATGCCACAGAAGAGGCATTATTTAGACTTCCAAAAGTTCTATATATTTCATACCTTTTCTGAAATGTAGAATTAGCCTTGGCATTATCTGGTCTTATTTCTAACATGTTGAGAGAAAGTTGAATATAAAACTAAGATATTTCTAATAGTGATAGTTTGAAGAAGTTTTTTAACTGCCTCCCAATTATGCATTAGAGATGTGTGTTAATAACTATTTACAATAATTTCCTTTTTTTATTGTTAAATTATACTATATATACCTAATTTTCAATTTTACAGGCCACACTAAAAATGAAAATCCTGTTGGGTGCTTTAACAAATAAAATTATTGATAAAACCTGAAAAGGTGACATCAGAATTTTCTATACACTATATATTCTTGTCATGAAGAGAAATACTTTGTCCTGGAAATCAGATTTATAACAAAACACCAGGTGGATGAAAATTACATAAAAAAAAGATAATACCTGTATTGTAATATGAAGAAAGTTGTTAATTTTATCATGTATATAATGAAAAAAAAAAGCTATAAAGCAACATGAAAATTCTCTGGTGTTTTGTTGTTAACCATTGAATTATTTTAATTAGTCATTTGAAGAAATTAATGTACTAAAACTACACAAATAAGTCATCCGCAAGTAACACACAATGGAATGGAGAGAGTGAAATGTTGAAAATTTATAGGATTAGAGGGATTTATAGCACATCAATAAATTTGTTGTATTAAATCTACATTTCAGCACAAAGTGAAATAAATTGTGCAATTATCAGAAATCCGTGTTTCTTCATTCAGTCAGCCTATAAAGTTATCAACCCCATTTTAAACTTTACTTCATTTCTGGTCTGTAGTGAAGAGAATTGTTATCCAGGTATGAAATGTCATTTTCTCTTGATGCAAATATTTCCTGAATGTCTGTTACTTTTTTCTTCTGCTTTTCATTATCTGGTTACTTGTAAATTATTGAAATAAAAATAATTGAAATTAAGTTGTTTTATTAAAATCATATATGATCAATTGTATTGCTATCTACAGTGTGGATTGGCTAAGACACTACAGATGAATTAGTTTCTGACCTATGTACAGATTGTGTGATGATATGTAATGTAAGCCAACAGTCTTTAGCTGGCGAAAAGAATGAAAAAAAAAAAACATAAAGGTATAATAACATTTTCTTCTATAATATACAAATGAAATCAATACACATAAAATCACTGAGTTTCTCCATCAAGACATAGATCACCATAATAAGCAGTAATTGTTTTCAACTTGGAATTAAGAATATTTTGTTCTATTTCAACCTTACCACCAGACCCTGCTAAAACTGTCAATTGATCTATATTAGTATTTCTTGGTACAAAAAAAGCAATGTTTTGGGTAATTTTTTGACTTATTTTGAAAATGTCAAATGCATTTAAACATGCCATATTGTTTAAATCATAGTTCTTATTGTTCAAATATTCTGGACCACCCCATGGTGGACTTAAAAACACAACATCAGCTTGTAAAGATGGCATTACCTTATAGAAATCCCCCACTATAAATTCAATTCTGTCTTCTACACCATAAACTTTAGCGTTATTACGAGCTAGCTCTATTTTAACAGGATCTATATCAATAGCTATAACTCTCTCACAATATAATGCAAATTGTATTGTATTGCCCCCCGCACCACAAAACCCATCCACTATCACGTCACATTGGCACCGTTCTGCGATATGTTCACTGATCTTTTCTGGTGTCACAGAAAACCAACTTTCTCTATCTAGTTGTATTCCTTCATCAAATCTAGAGAATAGACGATAACGTTGATACCAATATTTACACAGTTCTTTATCATCTTGTATATCAGCAGGCGGTTGGATTAATCTACCTTTTCTTTTCTTCTTCTTGCCTTTTTTCTTTTGATTTGAAGTCCCTTCGGGTAATACGTTATCCTCAGTATTCAATTCAGAGTTCTCAGTATTATCTAATTTGACATCAACATTTTCTGACATATCATTGTTTTTATCATAATCTAATTCATTTAACTTCTTTTGGAGTTTACTGGGTGTCTTGGATGATCCTGTGTTATTTTCTATAATGTGTCTCTTTCGATTCTTCTTCTTTTTCCCTTTTTTCTCGTCAACAAATTCAAACAAGTCTAAATCAGCATAGGATGGCATTTCTCTACTAAATGATGTGGATGCTCTAAAACCCCAAGATTCTAAAGCATCTGCTGCAGTGGTCTCCTCCAACTTTTTTTCTGGAAGATTTTCAATTTGTTCTTCATCAATAGTATCTTTATCTTCTTTAACTACAGTACTGTCTCCTTCCTCAATATCAATGGCTTCATTTTCCTGACTAAATATTTCCTCAGCACCATTGTCATCAACTTCATCAACATCGACATCCACACAGTCTCGTTTTAGTTCTTCATCCACACAGTTAGTCTCATTATTACTTTTCATATTGGTGTAAGATTTGAGAAATTCATTATAATGATACCAATACAGTTCTACATAATGTTCATTCCATAAATCTGTCCAGTAGTTATCAGTTATGTCCTCTTGTTGGTCTTCAGCTACATCATTACTGGTAGATTGTGACTCAATCTCACCAGTCTCTCCTGTTTCATTGTCCACATGTCTATGTTCAGCATACGAGTGCATCATGTTAAATGTATCTATATTGTCATTTGGTTCCACTGAATTCTCAATATTTGTATCTTTTTCACATCTATGTTTTAGTGTGCTACCTATTGCCTGATTGTATGCCACCCAGTTTTCACTGACTACCATCTCTTGGTCCTTATCAGTATTCATCAATTCTTCATTCACATTATTTTTATCCTCACATCCTTGATTCTTCTTATGATTATTGTCTGCTTCTTGCTTATCACCTGTACCTTCTAACTCTTCCTCTCCATTTTTATCTGTGTTACCAACTTGTGTGTCAGTTTCTTCTGCTGGTTCACTGCTTTGTTTTTCACAAATATCATTATCTTCTTCTGTTGTAATCTCAAGTTCTATAACAGGTAAAGCATTACTAGCTAGAGTCTCATTATCCATATAGTCAGGGTATTTATTCAACCATTGCTGCCATAGAATAGTTTCACCATACTGTGCCCAATATCCTTGAAATAATGTATCAATGTCATTTTTATCTAAATCCATCTCGGTATTCTCATCTTCTATTATATCCAAACATTTTTTGTATTTTTGATTTGCTTTCTTTCCCTTCTTTTTCTTTTTCTTACTGTTTTTGTCCTTTGAACCAAAAGCTGAAGGAAGCCCCATTTTTTTCATGATGTCTGATTCACTATCTTCACTACCACTTTGACTATTGTCTTCGCTATCATAGACTAACTCTGTTCCCTTCTTATACAAGTTATTATCATGTATGTAAGCTCGTGTACAGTGAAATTGTAAGCTGTCATCTTGGTTTAAGTTTAATTTTATTTCAGCCAAGTGATTCCATCTGTAACACATTTCTCTCAGAAGAGAGAATATTGCCTAATTCTAATATTGTCTTTTATGTAACTAGAATGATTATCTGAAATATAAAGCAAGTATAAAATTATGATAATATAAAAATTGCTGCCGGATCATGCATAGATAAAAGAATAAAATAAAAAAAATGGCATCATCATAACTAGGAGGCTAGTATTTGTCTTAAAATGAATGTCTCAGGGTCCATCTCATAAATCATTATTCATAATGATACTTTTTTCAAGGACTCAAAGACTATCTAAGACTTTCAGCACTATTTTGAAGTTGATTTTAGAATTGATACAGTAAACCTAACAATAGTGGGCAGTAGAATTGTTTAAATGCGATTATGTAGTAAACATTGATTGGAAGGATTCAAGGAACTCCGGAAGAAGGAAGGAATGAATAGTTTTCTCGGACTCTAATCAAAAGCAACTGAACTGATGAGTCAATCAAAGGAAATACTGGTCGAAAACAGATGATAAACAATATGTTACCAGAAGACCATTAATGTGTTCAGAGTTTTCAGACATGGATTCTAGATATCGACTTTGTTTACATTCGCTCATAAAACGCAGCTTCTCACGGGGGCAGCCATATTGAAAAATACAGACATTTCATTGGTTCGCTGGAAAATATCAAGAATTTTAGCCAATCATTTACTTACAAATACGTTAATGCTGGATGTAAGCATGTCTGTCTTTCAGTTACAAAAATCGAAAAAAAATCAGATTAATGGATTGAGAAATAATCAGTGGACTTTTGAATGTATAGAATAATTAAAAACATGAATCAGAATTTCCAATGCTGGTTTCTGATCAATAGTCGTCAGAAATAAGTAAATATTTGGAGAAAATTATTTCCATACATAGGGTGTGACTAAAATTCGAAATGGAGCCCATTTAATATTTTAAAGAACTCACAAGTTAATTTTGACATTTGTTAGTCGAGGTGAATGACACAACAATTTATGAGGCTAAGAGAGTTAACAACATTTTATGAGCTTGTAACATCCCAAACTTGCTTAAAGTGATACTAGAATTAACATAAAATTTAAGAATTTTAAACTTGGCGAATAAGAGCCAGCAGATATACCTTGTGCCATAAAATAAATCCAAAAAATTTGGTAAGTATCCATAAATATGCAATTAACGGTTGAAAAACTCCTTTTCAATAATTACTTATTTTTAGGAATTTTCCAGATTTTACAGGGATTCTGTTGTAACTTAATGACACCAGGTAAGATAACTGATGAATATAAACTCATATTGACCTATTCGAGAACTTGAATTTTATATTCATTCTAAGACGTAGTAGCACTTTTATCTGAAGCTTATAACAAGTTATTCTTTGGCCCAATTCCTATTTATATAGGCCTAGACATTGACTGACATAATTTATATACATCTCAATGCATTTGTCTAAAAATATCTTTTAAGGTCTTGTTTCACAGTGAATAAACATAACACATAAAACTTTTATTATATTTCTATATATGAAGTTCCAAACTCAAGCCACAAAAGCCAAAAGCTTATTTACTGGTAATTCTTTTCTCTTTCAGAGACTACAGAAAATCTATTGAATAAATGAGACTAATTTTGATGGAAAAAAAATGGCAAACAATAAAATGAGTGAAGATGACAATGTATTCAATGACTGTAAACAACCAGAAGAACTACGAGATGTGTATTGTTTTGAATCTGATCACATTGCATTAAAAGGCAACCCAGACTATCAAAGTTTACTGAAAACTATTTGTATATTAGAATCTCAGAGAATACAAGCTGTAAAAGATATTGACACACTTCGTAAAAAACAGAGAGAAGCACTTGCTGATCCCATCAATTTTGTTGAAAAACTTCAAAAGGCAGAAGATCTAGGATTTCCCAAAGATCTAGACATTCCATCTTTACCGTCAATAAATTGGGAACAATACACAAGTTCTGTTGATTTTAATTCTTTTGGCAATCACAAACATATGACAAGAATAAAAAGACAACTAACAGAAGATAGCTTAACTGGTAAGATACAAGATAAAGTATAATTGATATCCATAACAAAAACAAGCAGGACTGTACTGATCCCTAAAATAATATAAGCTTATACCTAAGATATTTATTCTCCATGACAGAAACAGGAATCTCTGTCCATTTCAAACATCCTAAAAGGGAATTCAAACCTGAGACACCTGATCTGATTACATAAAGGATCCCAGTTTATGGTATAAACTTACTTCTCCTGTGTTTGATTGTAAACAATGTTTTGATATAATTTATGCCACAATATTGTGTGTTTATAAAGTGATTTCTACCCCTAAATGTCATTAAAAGATTACCTAGTAATGGGTTAATATCAAACTCTCTTAATTTCTCCCAAGTCCAAGTGATAGAATGGAAACATGTTGATAATTTTGTATTATAGATCAGAGTGGTATTACTAGTGGTATGAAATCTAAGTTAATTAATGAAGAGGTTGATATGGATGTCGTAAGAGGGCGATTAAAAGATCCAAATAAATCAGCAACATTTAATTTACTTTGGACATCAGAAGAGCAAAAAAGGTAAACAGAATAGACAAATATTATGCTAGTGCATTATATTAAATAATGCACATGATGATGTTTCCAGAATCTACATCTAATTCAGTAGGGATGCAGACTGAAATAGTTCAGTTGTCTGAAGATTCCACAGCGTGAAACTCTGAATAACAACATGTTAAGTTTTCATATTTCTTGATTTCTGTTTTGATATTTAAATAGATTAGAAGATTTGTTGATAAAATATCCACCAGAAGATGTTGAAGCTAAAAGATATCATAAAATAGCGACAGCATTAGGTAATAGAACAGCACAACAGGTTAGTTTGTATTGAAAGAATACAGAATTTTGTACCTCTTGTTTGAAGGCAGTTCTAAGTAGATGACCGGTTCTTTAGTGCAATAGATAGCAAGTCCGCTTTAGTGAAGTGTATAGATTTGAATTGCTCTCAGGGAGGTTTTGATTTAGTGGTCAGATTCAGCACAGTGAAAGCTTTAATAGTTTTTCTTCCAATGCCATATTATGAAATAAAGTGGTCAATTGTAATTGCAACACAAATCAGTAATATATTTCTCATTGAATTGTATAGTCAATAGATATTTTGGTGCAATTTGATAAGTGTTAAGGTGAGATGGAAACAATCAGTTGCCAAATTATTTGAAATGATAATTTTTGGGATATGGTTATATCAAGATATCCTGAAACTCGTTATATGTTATCTCCTAGGTGGCTAGTCGAGTTCAAAAATACTTCATCAAGTTAGCTAAAGCTGGATTACCTATACCAGGTAGAACCCCAACACTCAGAGATAATAGAAAATATGTAGGTATTTATAGTATATAACTTACTTCACATGACATTGCCCATCATCAGCAACAGAAAAGTTAAACTCTATTGAATATAATTTGAAAATAAGTAAGCCAAGGTCCAATTAACATTGTAAAGTACATACATATGACTACAAAACAATTCAATGTCGTGAGAAAAATTTATTATTTTATAGACACTAGGTAGAGGCTATGGTGTAAGATTTTCCAACATTCCACAACATTCTACCTTCCTCCAATCATATGAACCACCAGTTTATATGTCTGAAGATGATGATGATACTAATAGTTATAATGGTAGTTATGATATAGATACATCTCAAACTAATCAACTAGGTGATATATCAGTAAGTAATAGTTTTTCAGTTAGTTTAATAGAAGTATGTTACATTTTACTTCTCCATCTTGGTGAAATTAGTAGCTATGGAAAACTCTAAATTAAAATTCCACTGTTCATTTTTTTAGGATGAAGAGGAGATTCCTGCAGAATTAAGAAATACTCCAGAATATAAGGAAATACTTCAATTAAAATTAATCAAAAAACAAAAACTGGCATCTGAGAAGAAAAGTTTAAAACATGATGGTTATAAGGTAAGTTGATTAACATTGGTGTTTATTATTGCACTGGTCAATAACCTGACATATGTTAGTAAGAATGTGTCATGATTGTCAATTTATTGATAGAGTTACAGCCAAGGAAATGGACATGTTAAAAGAAATAAAGGGCATAGTTTTGTCTGTATAATTTGATGTGTAGGTTTATACCTACAAGATGTTTTATGAGTTCAAATATGAGCACCATTAGACAAATATTTACTTAGCCCCTGATATACTGATAGAATTTAGGTTAGTGGATGTATATTGTCTATATGTATTGGTTTATTTATTTACAGTGTGATAATTGTGGTACTGATCCTATTGTTGGTGTAAGATGGCATTGTTCAGACTGTCCTTCATCCCAATCTTTAGATTTCTGTGATTATTGTGCTGACAGGTTTGTTGTAGTTCTGGCATCTCATGAAATAAAAAAATTAAAAAAACAAGTACTAATTAACCAAACTGCAAACCTAAAGCCAAAATCCATTAACAGTTTGGCAATACATTGGTAGCAGTAAATGAACTTTCATACGAGGAAGTATATCAATCACAAATGAGGAAGTATTTTGTACTGAAAAGTGGTATCGGGTGTATGTTGGCATTTTTATCAAAAAAGTTCAATTATTAACTTTTCACACCCACTGTTTTGTATTTCAGCAATTTTGAAAACAGTGAGCACAATTCAAGTCACAGATTAAAAGCTATAGATAAGATAGAAAGTGAACCTATATTAGATCAGGATTATATGAGATTTATGCCTGGTGATTATAATTATCTTGATCCTAATTATATGCCTGCTAGTTGATGCTATAACTCACAGAACATTTTCAGTAAGCTTATATTCAGTTTGAATGGAACGCCATGAGCCCAGGTTTACAAGCTGTGACCATCTTTTAAAAGTACGGCAGCACAGCAAGTGGGCCCCATTTCTGGAGTAATAAAACTTTGGTTATTGATGTCTTGCACCTCACAAGACTAACACTTTTGAACATTGGAAAGATATTGTTGGAGAGATCTTTGTTGAAACTGACAGTCAATAGGTCAGGATTAGAACTCAACTTCTTTGATTCTGAGACATTGCAATGAAATGAAAATGAAATGAATGGAGTTTTACGTCCTACTTTTCTGCATCTGAGACATTGAAGCTAGGCACTAAGATCAATATAAACAAAGGCTAGTGATGCAAAAAGATGGTGTAACGGGATGAGAAAAGGCCAATTATTTTGTTAAATAAATTTATTTTTTGTATTAATTGAAAAAAAAAAATAATATAGAAATAAAGATCGTAAAAATTTTTGTTTTTGTTTTGTATGTCTTCAACCTTGTAAATAACCCCTGAAAAATAAAAATACAACAAATGTTTAACATGAAAAGGAATAAACACAGGCAGTGTATCAAGATGTCAATATCAAATTCTCACTATTCCCCAAGTAAGGAAGGATTAATACAAGTTCAGTATGGTGGCATAGCTATAAATAACTGATCTTACATCAGGTCTTATAGAGGGGGAAGTTGTTAAATAATTGTATTCACTGTCAGCTTCCAGTGAACAGTCAAAATGGGCACTGAACGTATCTAAATATTGAAGAGTGCCATACAAATCTCACTTTAATCAAAAGTTTAATATATTGAATTCCATTTCTTGACCAGCTGCTTAAAGACTTTACATTTGATTATAATATTAATAAAAGTGCTTGTGAAATACTTACGGTAATTTTATCCTCATGAAAACACGACACATAAAAAATGATATTAAAACAGCAATAAATCCAATACTGAGTAATAATATTCTATTTAATCTGGGCATTAATGGTTTATTGGTCATATCTAATATAACAAATCCTAAACCACCCAATGTAAAGAGAAAACTAGACGCTAGTCCTTCCATAATATACTGCCCATTAACTCTGTAAGGCATAAAGGCAACCTGAAAAATACAAGAACACCCACATTAACAATTTGTTCAAGGCCCAAAGAAAAAGTTTGTATCTAGCAAGTCCAAGATATGAGAGAATCCACTTTGAACTTTGGTGATTGTATTACGAAAAATATTACCAGTACTAGATCTGATGCCAAAGACAGTTTCTATGGGATAACACATATGCCCTTCCATACTCAAAGTCAAAATAATAGTCTGTGTGCTGGTGTTGTACTACTGCATTAAACAAAAATTATAAGACCTAATCATATGTGTTTAATTGATTGAAATAATATACTTTTGCCTACTAAACCACTCTCAACATCCAACCACAAGAAGGTGTAGTTCTCAAAAAGGGATTGTACTCTTTGCAGTTGATTGTACTTATAGATTTTTTTTTTATCTAACTTACTGGTTTTGAATTTCCTCGTTCATCTGTAGTGGACCCAATACTTGGGGGTTCAACTATAACATCATAAATTATACCTGTAATATTATCAATACGGTCAGTAATAAAAGTCCCATAGTATATACTTTAGACAATTCAATGAAGCCTATTGATGATTCAAATTTAATTGATGAAGTAGTACACAAATATAATGCCATTTGAGAGTAGAGAACAGGAAGGGTGTCAACTGATTCAAAATAATTTACTGCATCTACTCATTTTTCATTTAAATACATTTGCCAAAGAATGCTTTTAACAGTATCATTTTATAGGCCGAAAGACATAATATCCCCTTCCATAGTCATGTCATAGCCCGATGGCGTTATGATTTCGAGCAATATGCATCAAGTGCTTACCTCCTGTGACTAAAAAGTAGGATAACAAAACTAAGGTAAACATAAACATTGCCGACGGTTGTCTTAGCCATGACGGCTTCCTAAGTTTCAGATTAGGGCACTCTAAAACTGTAAAGGGGATGCTGTACAAGGCTTCCATGTTGATGTGGCAAACTGTAGCGACACCACGAAAAAATAGATATAAGGGAAGCAATCAAATTTAACAAAGGCAGTAAGACTACAAATAATGCCATGCCATGATAAATCTGTAAGTAATATTATATTATGTATATAACATGAACGTTTCAGCCACAGGTTAGGGCCTATCAATTCACATTTCTTTACGAGCAAATTTAAATCTATATTAAGCTTCTTGTCTTAAATAAAAATGTTTTTGAATTCATATTTGAAACTTAATTTCTCCATATCGCACATGAAAAGCATCCAGCTATATAATTATGCTTCTATTTCAATATTCTGAAATTCTCTCACTCTAAGCTGTTGTCTATAAATAAAATTCTTGTCTTGGCATTATGAGATTATTTAGGTACCAATATTTATGGGGATTATTATGCAATCATAATTGAGAATTGATGGTAATATCCAATCAAATTCATCTCTCAATCTGTTTATTTCATACTTTTTAGTAAAAAAAAAAGAAAGAAACAGAAAAAAGCGTTAAATCTTTTGATATTTTTATTTAGGGCTTTTCCTTATTTTTAGGGTGTTCTATCGTCTCTTCGTGAAGCCAACATATCGAATTCTCATCCGAGCTTAGAAACGTTAGATCAGTTAAAAATTAAACCTATTTCATTTGGTTTTTTTTTTCACCGATTAAAGCCAAGGTAAGATCTAAGATTACTAAATTATCGAACGGAAAAAATCAAGTTTTTATTATCTCTTATCAACTTAAAATTTATCTAAAACATGAGTTTTTACATGGTATTACGTCAACTATTACTAGAATAAGTTACGAACTATTGCCGAAAATGATGAAATAAATGATTTATTAAAAAGACTTTCGGGCTTTATCTTGGTATATTCAAGAAAAAAATCTCGTCAAAACAGGTTTTCCTCTCAACTTTGATTAATTTGTTATAACTTCGCTGACTGGTATAGATCGTGTGTCGTATTTTATTCACCATTTAAAGTAAGTATGTAAGAATTTTGTAGATACAGAATATTAAACAACTTGTTCTACATATACCGTTCCCGATAGGTTGGCACAACATTGCAGATGAACATAAGCGTAGTTCGGATTAAGGGATTAAGAGAGATACGTTTTTTAAGCAGTGGAAATCTTGCTGACTCATACATACATATTACATGAAAGTAGAGATTACTGCCTGAAGTTACTATTATCACTTTCTGTATCAATAGAATGTATTATGCATTTTTTAGGAAGGGGAGAGGGGGTGATAGGGGGTCATTTTTGAATAAAAAAAAAAAGATACTCTTGTTAATAAGTCCGAGAAGTGCATTTCGAATTAGTGGTCAAGACGTTAGTTAGAATATTTCCTTCAAATTAACATTTCGATTGAGAATGGACAAAAGTTAATGATAATTATTTCTTATTAACTTAGATAAAGGTCAATGTAGATTAACACTATATAATAACCCGATTTCGATTTCGACCAGTATAGATTAGTCAACATGGATATTATAAATTATATTTTAAATACATGTCCTATATACACAGATAAGAGTATGAATAGAGGGTGTTTTTATGTAAAAATGATGAAATGGTATCACCGATATATAATATTATAGAATAATGTCAAGGTTTGAGGTCAGATTTTTGGCGGTGACATTTTAATACCTCATTGACCTTTAGGGGTTTATCTTATCATCAGTCCCCCTATTAGACTAACCATCCGGTGCTTGATGACACGATCTGTAAGGTAGACTTAAATATCGATTGGGCACAAGGATTGATTCAGAGTGGTCGATACGGATGGACATTGGCTATCATCGTGCTTGGTGTATAATTCGTGAAATCTGCCTTTATTGGTTAGAAGTTCATAGTTAAAGCCATATAATATATGATATTTCTAATTGTATAATATATAATTGTTAAATATAATATAATATATTGATTTCCTATTACTATTGCGTATGTCGCCAATTTACTGTTAATAGCTTTAATGATGCGTTTGAACATTACAATTAATCTTGGTTTGCATGAATTTCGGTTGATTGAGTGAAGTCTCTAACTATATTTAAGTATAAAGGTATAGCCTAATCAAAGATTTCATGGAATGGAAGTGATAATGTTGGATGATTTACGTGGAAATTAACAGTTTTTTCTGATGTTTTATAGGATTATGATATATGTTCTGATATAACAGTTTATGGTGTAAGTAGATAGTGACATAAACAGTTGACATGGCTCCCCGTAAAAATAGCAGTTCAGTATCTGTAAATGATACAGAAGTAGAGATAGCATTGACACAAAGCAAAGCAGTTAAAGAAGAAGTCGAAGAAGATGCTAAAGAAAAAGAAAGTATCAGAAATCTTCCTATTGATAGAGGTTGGGCCTGGGTTGTCGCCTTTGGTAAGTATATAGGCCTGCTGCTATTCTGCTATTCTCACCAGAGTCGGTTCTAGAGTACTAAAATAAGATTTTCTGCAACTAATGATATAGTTTTATACGTCCGCATGCATGGAAATATGCATGCATGTATTGAGGAGATCTCAATTAATTTGAAATTGGTAATAATCGGATGAACGGTTTTAGAGTTATTGCCCTTGACTTAGTAAAAATGCGCCAAATTTGCCTTGTGGCACATAGAGACTACAGTTTTTATCCGATCTTGTTGCAACTTGGTATTCATCTATATATTGATGAGATATCAGTCCAGTTCGGAATTGGTAATAATCGGATGAACGGCACGATAGAGACGACAGTCTTTATCTGATCCCGATGAAATTATTTGGTATTCATGTATATTTTGATGAGATATCAGTCAAGTTTGAAATTGATAAATCGGATGATTAGTTTCGGAGTTATTGCTCTTGACTTAAAAACTTATCAAATTCGGCTTGCAGGCACGATACAGTTTTTATCCAATCTAGATGAAAGTAGGTATGCATGTATATATTGATGAGTCGAGTTCGTAACTGGTAATAATCGGATGAACTATTTTTGCCCTTGAGTGTACAGCGATGAGACATTGTTCATGTTTGAATTTGATGAACTGTTTCAGGTTTTTGCCTTGACTTTTAAATGATTTTTATACGCCCACATCTCTCTATGTCCGTCCGTCGGTCCGTCCGTCCGTCAACATTTGCTTGTAAACGCTCTAAAAACAAGTTTTTTTGATGGAATCAAACGAAATTCAGTATGTGTATACATATAACACGAAGATCAAGTTCGAATTTGAGCTATTTTCTACCGTTAGAAGCAGAGTTATTGCCCTTCCCCCAAAATCTTGAATATGCTATTACTCTCTTAGTTTTCAACCGATTTTGATGAAACTTGAAATGGATGTTTCGTTGTTACCATCCGCATGCCATGGTGGGCGTATATGGCTGTGCTCCACTATCTTAAGATTATTAAGCCATTAAAGATTTTGTTATCATTCTTGACAGCTGGTAGTGGGCGTATGTTACCTTGTCTGGCAAGCTATGCAACATGTATTAAATTAAATGTCATAATATGATAAATAATCTGGAATTACAAGAACCACAGACGTTAGACCGGTCAGCAATCGGATTTGTGCAAAGGACAGCGAAGTTCCCATATTAAAAAAGAAAACCACTTTTGATTTCATTTAATGATATACTGTAGCAAATTCCTTTAATTTCAGCATGTATGGGAAACACTGCCATTTTAGTAGGTTATCTAATGTGTAATGGTATTTTATTTGTTGAATTCTTAAGAATTTTTAAATCGTCCACAACATCTACTACATTAATATTTGGTTTCACTTCTATCATATTCTCTATATCTTGTAAGTTTTATACAATCTCCGTTTTCAATTCTTTACCATGTATAATTTACAATTTCCCATTGTGATGTCTACGATCTTATTGTTGCTCCAAATCTGAAAAATTAAACGTATTCCATCTAACTACTTCTCATTTTTTAGTTTTTTTAACCGTGGTAAAATTTATTAAGGTCAATAATTGTCAAACATCATTTGAATGCCGAGTATTTGATATATTTATTTAATATTTTCTGTTTTAATATTTCTTTATCGCTCTAAATTAATACATCTAACATTATTTTAATAGTAAAATTTTTATTTCAGCTTTCATTGTCATGCAAATAATACTGCCAAGATTTCAAATACGTCAAATAATATGTACTGGTGGTATCCTTATATCTCTTGGCGTATTAGCTTCCATGTTCGCACAAAATATAACTATGCTTATAGCATCTCAGGCTATTTTTCTGGGTAAGTCTATACCTTTTAGAATATATTGAGCACATCTGAGCGCACCCTATCTGACAGTTCCTAGTTTCTGCCATCGTTATACCTTACATCCTTTTCCGTATCCATCCAATTTTTTACCAGAATATTTTTCAGTTACGATACGTATTCGCAATATTATTGATCTGGCACTACGTATTCGTATAAAAAATTTACCTTACACTCCTTATTACCATCTGACACTCCATGTTCCCATAATCACTAAATTTGATACTCCGTATCTGCATCATAATTTTATCTGACACTCAATATTCCCATCATAATTTTATCTGACACTTCATGTTCTCATCATAATGTAATCTGACATGTTTCCATCATAGGCCTAAATGTATCTGACACTTCATATTCGCATCGTAATTTCATCTGATCCTCCATGTTCCCGATATTTCCACCATGAATCTGACACTCTTTGCGTTGCATTGCATTCCAATCATAATTCTATCTGACACTCCGTATTCATAGCACTTTTTTTTCAATTACACTCTACATGTTTATCTGACACACATATTCGCATGGTGGTTTAACCGAAGACTCCGTATTCCATCATAAATTTTTATTCTTCCTAATAGGTTTATCTGACATTCAATATTTCACACATAAAACACCCAACCATAAAGTAACATTATACCATGTATCCCTTTCGTAGGTTTATCTGACTTATGGTATCTCATATCATACGTTGATCTAACACTGTGACAATCGGTATGATTTTTTGCAATTGTTTGACACTGAGCACTTTTATTTGTGAATCTCTGTTAAAGATTACGTTCAGACATCCTCTCACACTTCTTGTGTCCCGCTTACTCGTGTGATTTTATTTCAGGTATTGGTCAATCTATGATTATGGGTGTAAATATTGTGGCTGTTAGTAGATATTTTGATAAAAGACGAGCCTTTGCTTTGGCAATAAGTAACAGTGGTGTTAGTATAGCAGCCTTAGTATTCCCTGCCTTGTGTCGACTTCTTCTAGATACATACGGTCTGAAAGGAACGCTGCTTATTTTTACTGGAATAGAACTTCATCTTGTTGTTTTCGGTTTATTAATAAGACCATTAGAATTACCGCATGAAAAACTGTCTCCGTCCTCATCTGCTTCAAATTTGACTGTGGAAACAGAGTCAAAAGACACTGCAGCAGAACTAATTCCTCGCCAAATAAGTTGTTCTTCAGAAAAATCATCAAAACCCATTAAAAGTCGGCCTCGCTCTGTAATAGCGGAGAAAAAAAACGGATACCACCACGTTGCTTCTGATTTTGACCAGGATCTGTGTGAATCTGAACTTAGACCACGTCTTCTAACCATGACGTCATTCGTCGGCAGCATTGCATCAATTCCAATAGCATTAGTAGAAGAGAAGAAGTCAAGACCTAAATCGACTATTTTAAAGGATATTGTTAGTATTTTTAAAAGTCTGGATTTCTCAATCTGGAAGAGACCACTGTTTATTTTAATACTTTTAACTAGTACATTTGGTGTACCTATATATCTCTATATTATCTACTTACCGGCTATCCTAGCTGAATACAATGGCGACCCTGCCGATGTACCTATATTTCTTATGATAATAGGAAGTGTAGATTTTGTCAGTCGCCTGGCTCTAGGATATTTTGCTGATTTAAAGTATGTTAAATTAAGGACTATAATGATGTTAGCTATATCTATAGCTGGGATAAACTGCCATTTAATGAGGTTTTATACGTCCTATACAAGTCAGTTTGTATGTGTAACGATATTTGGTATTGTATGTAATATTTATGGTACATTTATAGCTGTCTATGTGACTGATTTGTTAGGAATCGAAAGTCTACCAAAAGCGATGAGCTTCCTGCAAATTATTCATGGTGCCTTCCTTTCAGCATATCATCCAATTATAGGTAAGTTATTCGGAGCTATTGTGTGTAATGTCGGTGTAATGAACTTAGATCGGAATAGAGTTCAACTAAAACCATTCAGAGCATTGTTCTTAACGCCATTATTCATATTATGAAATCTATATACACGGCTATGATTCCCAGGTTATTGACATTTTGTAGTCTTGGTCTATAAAAAGAGTTATTCCCCTTTCACTATTATACACTATTACATGGTCTTGTATAGGCCCTACTACTTACTAGATAAAGGGATAGGCCAGAAATATTGTGAGTATTTTTGACAGGTCAAAGGTTTTCATTATCTCATTCAAACTCCAGATTGATTTTATTTGAAGCAGAAGGCTTCTGAATTGATACCTGACAATGTGATTTGAATTCTGATGATTTATTTCTGTATAATTTCAGGTATATTAAAGGATACAACAGGAACATATGTATCATCATACCATTTTCTAGGTACATCTGCTTTACTAGCTGCCTTTTTCTTACTGCTACAACCAGTCTTTCAAAAAATAGACCAGAAAACGATCATTAAACCAGAAATCCAAGAGGAAATATAACAGCTCATTCCATTTCATTTGAACTATTTGTTTTACTACATCACAATATTTTAATTTGAGGCGTTTTTGTGGGCCGATTCGATTAGGTAGATTAGCTATTTTGTGTGTTTGTGAGCCAGGACGATTAGGCTAATCGGTACATTTGTGAGCCAGTTTACCTAAACTGATTTGGCTAATTGTCCTAATCGTCCCAGGAGGTGGTTAGGCGATTCGATTAGGCTTTTCCAAGATGGACCACTGCTAATCTAAACCAAACTGCACCAAATCGTAATACCTAATCGAATCGACCCACAAAAACGCCTCTTATAGTAATAGCTGCTATGTCTCAAACAGGACATATGTTCGTGTATTTCAATCATTCATATTCCAATGTAAAATATCTTCTATATTTTTATGAGTATAATATATTATTTTGTATAAATGTTATATATCAATATAAATCTGGATGTTGTTCATTTCTGTTAACATATCTCAGAATGGTTTACCAGGGTAATTCAGTCTTTAAGTCCACAATTACTGCTTTCAAAATATCAAAGAGCATTACTTTATAGTGAATTTCAATGGATACATGCCTCTAATGGATAAGATGAAAACAAAAGATGAACTTTAAATATTTTACTACATGACATTGACAATATTTACAAATTGATATTTTTGAGAAATAAAATGATGTTTATATGAGAAATGTGTTTTATATGAATTTTCAGTTGTTTTTTTCCTTTTTTGAACTCTTCTATACATAAATTGTCAGGTGGTTAAATTGCCTTTTAACATTAAAAAAAATAAATCAAGTCTTTATATTCATGCTTTGAATAATGGTTGATCAATTATAGCTAGATGTTAACTAATTTATACAAAACAACTTTATAATGGAGCAACACTTTAAGTTTGACAGAAAAATTCCAAGTAACAGTTCAGGATTGTTTTCAATTTACACGGAGAATCACCATTCACTTGACATATTTCTCCATAAATTTCCGATGAAATTGAGAACGTAATGTGTCATTGATGAAACCTTTTGTCTTTTTATCCTCTTCACCCTTAGCACAATTTTTAAATACAACGTCATCATCCCATCTGTAAATAGATATTAATATCCAGTTACAATAAGTGGACAAAGAAAATTGAATTACTAACTAACTGATCAAATTGCAGGATCATGGATGGTGGTATAAAGATAATTGTCTGCCAAGGAATTATGTTGCTTATTATAATAATAAAATGGGTTTAACAGACATGACAAAAAAACAGACTATAAGGGCTAGGGAGAACATGCTCATTCTGTCCAAGGTTGCAACCTCAGCACCTCTTCAATATGGCTACATGTGTTATTTGTGTAATCTTCACTCCAATAAATAATGTGGTAAATACAACCCTGCAATCTCTAATTAACATACCTTCTTTTAACTTTAAAATCTTGTTTTTCACTTTGGTTTAAAAGTGGGTTTCCTTTTAAAATATTCTCTGTTCTAATTCTTTCTTCTTCCACTTTTCTCTCTGATTCCTGGTAATTAAATAAAGTTATAGGTATACTCCAAGTGAAGACAATAAATAAATCTAGACAGAGCCAAATAATGGATAAGAATCGAGCAATGCTTTATTATTCATTATTGATATATGATATGAATATTGCCCTTCAGTCAATCAATAAACTGAAATCGAAAATTTGTGATACAAAAGTGACAACATACCTGTTTAGCTCTTTCAGCAGCTCTTTCTTTTTTAATCTTCTGTAATTCAGCTAATAATTCTGCTGTATCGTCTTCATCATCAGAACTATCCTCATCTTCCTGCACAATAGGTTAATAAAGACATTTATTGAGTATCAATCAATTCATCATTGACCAGAAATTCAAAATAAACTAAGAAAATCTGACATCTTATAATGAGATCAGTATCAGCAAGCAATTATCATTAAAACAGTATTTTTATAAATAAAATACTCTTATTGTCATAAAACTCTAAGACCCAATATATATTTTTAATTGAATAAGCTTACATGATGTCATATAATGAAAGTCTTCAAGCAATGTTCAAATGCTTCAGGGATGGCTCCATCATCCCCTCTTGTTGTGCAGAAACAAAGAAAAGGCAAAAGATCACAAGATAGACCAGTGCATAGTTAAGAAAAACTTCAAAATAAACTTACATCCTCATCAACAGGATCATCTGCATCTAAATTGGCTGCTGGGATCTGATCTAATCTAGGTCTTTTACTACTGGATGTACTTGAATCTGAAGAAAAATAGTCAAAGTAATGATATCTCGTTAGAATTAAAGTCCATCGCACACTGGGTTTACAATTAACAGCCATCTACAAAATCAGGAGTGATCAAGGAATATCTGACATATTTGAGCCAAAAATTTCCTGAATTTCCTTCTGGCTAATTTTAGGAGCAATCCTCATCAAGTAAATTGGATAATTTAAGAAAATTGCAAGATGTGAGGGACTTGTATGATTTGTTACAGTAATATGTCTAGGAAAAAGTTCACAAAAATCAACGTGAACAAACCTCCACCCCTTCTGCCATCTCTTTTATCTCTGGCTGTTCTTTCTCTATCTTCTAATTCTCTTCTGAAATCACGTCCTCTAACTTCACTGTAATTAGACTGTCCTTCTTGTCTAAAAATACAATCAATATAACATTAGTCTGGAACTTACAGACTTTACTGGCCTTTGATCATTATATGGGTTTTAAGAGACAACATCTGATATTTTGATTGATACTGGTACCAATCTAAATAAAAAATAGATTCATTGCTTTGATAAAAGATTCCACAGTTTTGTTTTTACACTGCCAGTAAACAAAACAGAGATAAAACTATTAAGCATATTATATACCTGTATTTTAATTTAGTGTGGGCTGGTAGATCTCTACTAGAATATTGTTTAGAAAGAGCACTAAGGTCATTTTCTCCTTTACCACTACCACCTCTAGCAGTATCCCAAGTTGGTCTGGCAGCTGTTGTCATTTTGATTTAGTTTGAACTATCTGTCTGGAGATTTGTATATCAGTATTGCCTACATCAATGAAAACATGAATTTATGAATTAAAAACACAACACAGTGGTCAACAATAGTAGATAATTCTATTTCCATATCTAGAGATAATGTGAGACTGAGAAAGAAATCTATAAACATTAGTTACATTGTAACTGAGTGATGTTTGCGCAAATTCACACAATTATGACAATTAACATGGTTAGTAGGGAAACAATTAAATAATATTCTTATGGTTTAATCGAATAAACAAGTCACAAAATACAAAAAAATATATATAGTATGCATTAAGACACATACACTGGTAAAAATAAATCACAATATTCAAGAATTCTTTATGTGTTATAAAGGTTTGCGTTGACAAATTCAAGACACAAGAACGCAAACATTAAAATCTTGTACAACACAGATATCTGAGGGAAAATTTCATTACAAAACGTTCAAATACCTTTCTATCTATTAATCTATACTAAATATTATATTCTTATTATATTATTACAGTTACAAAATGCTTAAAATAAGGAATCCTTGAGATTGGAGCTAAACAGCGGCCATCTTGCTTTGACAAATTAGCCTCGAACCCAAAAGAGTTCTTATGTGCTATATTCCACTAATCAACTAATTAGTTGAGTATACTGTGAAACCTAATCTACAGTCAATACTAATCAACCAATCATACTTACTTCAAGAAATAATCTGATTGGGTGATTATTTATTTTTGGCAACATTTCAGCTTGAAGGTTAAGGCCAAAAAGAAAATATGAGTTTGTAAGAGTATGTCAAACATAACAGTAAAATCGATTCATGAGAACGAGTGCTTTTATTTTCATGGAAAATGAAGGGGGTTTCCTTAATTTTGAGGAGTATAGTTTTGCTGGGATGTGCAACACTCGACCATGCATACCTGAACTTATATATGGATGAAGTTGAAACCTTTCGACTTTTGGGTAAGTTCTGCAACTTTTTTCCTTGCAGACTCCTGTCTGACAGCAGATACTGATGATAGCTTTCGTAGGCTAGACAAAACAGTTCAGACTCTGATATACCATTGTGGCATGAAGTCAGATATATCATAATAAGATACTTTGATTTAGCATAGTGGCATACTATATACCATAATATGATAATCTAAGTGTTATTTATCACCTGATACACAACAGTCTAATATACCAAAGTCTAATATACCATAGTTTAATATACCATTGTTAAATAATTATGCTACAGTTTGATATACCATAGTTTAATATACCATGGTGCCATAGTTTGATAAACCACAGTCTGATATACCATAGTTTGATAAACCACAGTCTGATATACCATAGTCTAATATACCATAGCCTTATATACCAGTGTTATTCTATCAACAAGGCATCAATTATCAAGTTGAGCAACATGATGAAAAATAGAAAGGGTTCAATATCATACCTATCTATATTACCTATCTATATTACCTATCTATACCAGTAAATTGTTGCAATATTATTGTGGCATATTACCACAATATTAGAACTAAAAACAGACAATATCATGAGATTTTGACTTGGAGATAAAATAAAAGTTGATCAACCTCATCATCTTATGTTATATGAGTTGCAGTCATTAATTTTGTGCTGGTCATTGCTGACACTTTACAGATTATGTTTTATGAAATTTGTGAAAATGACCGATTCCAACCGTTTGTATTATGATTACCAAATTTCCATGACCCTTCTACAGTTGGAATATGGAGCTAACTTTAAACCTGCCAACTTGTTACACAGATTCAGACTAAATATAAAAAGAGCAATTGTCTTGATTTCAATTATGAAGTTATAAGCCGTTTTTAAACCATAAGCCATACTGCACCAATTTGGACTGTGATTGATTTCATTGGGGTAAATATAATTTTCGCACATGTCTAAAGCGGCATTATACCTTTTGATGAATTGTGAGAGAACCAAACGTCAGATTGAATGTATGTCTGCATCTCTTTATTATATGATATGAAATGATTAAAAGTATAAAATATTTATCAAAATCTTATATTAAGCAAAATAAGTTAAAAAGTTTTTTTTTTTTCACAAAAAAACTCTCCTTTGATCAAAAGAATGTATGTGTTTTGTATTAAATAATGCAGACCTGAAGAAATCTGAGAGATTGGTAAATTAAACTTTTGAATGTATGAGTATGAAATTACATGAAATTATAAAGGATTGATCTTATGAAAATATAAGTAAGATATCTGGTTATTATTGTAAGGAGAGAAAAATACAAGTTCACACTAGGGGGTTGTTTGTATTTGAAATAAGGGACCAATCCTTCTGGGTCATGTAAAGATTACATTAGGGATCAGTGACAATATTTCTTACATAAAGACAACCTCAGACCAAAACTACAGAAATAAAAATGTTAAAAAAAAATCTCTAGGAAAATATTTGAAAAGATGAAAGATTTTGAATCACAAGCAAATTTTGATTTGTTCATGAAGATAGATAATACCCCTTTTTAGACTTTATTATAATGAGGATGGTTTTTGATTTTTTGATAGTTAGAATAATTGTTAAGTACTTTCGTAATGATTGTTTATTTGAATAATTGAAAATTTAAAGATAATGATAGATAATGAATCTTAACAGCTGTTTTGGATTTTCGAATAAGGTAAAATTGATAAAAATGGTCATGACATTCAGAGAAAATGTTTTTGTATCTTTTTAAATCATTTTAAGGCCAGTACCTTATTGCCAACTTGACAAATTGATATTGTGCTTAATGAATAACCTCTATACATGCTTCATGTAGTAGGTGAAGAAATGAAACAGAATGAAGTTAACCTCAGAAGAAATAGTGCAGTGAAATGTTCTGATATAACTATATATTATGTGAAAGAGATTAGTGTCAAATATGATTGTTGACAAGTGTTATATGATAATAATATAGAAAATAAATAAACAATATCAGTTATAATTCACTATATATACACTCTTATTTATTTTTTCTTCTACATTAGTTCTATTTTATATCACACTTTCTTGGAATATTTCTTTTTCTAAAAATTCAGTTGATAAAAACAATATCAAATGTATAAATTCTGACCCATTAGCAGAAGATAAATAATTTGTAACTGACATCCATGTAAGTGCTAAGTAATATGGTAGTAAAACTATCTAAATTCTATTTTGCTAGACTTGATGCAACCAAATGTGTAACAGCCCATGTGTAGGCGGAGAAATTATTATTTTTGTACAGCAATTGAACTATTATTAAAAAAGATCTTAAAGTTTTTTTTTTTACTGTTGCCCAGTATGTTGAACTAAAATTCTTAAGAGCACAACATGTTCAAGCAAGCAATGAAGCATCCCCACAAGATCAGAGTACAATTGTCTAAGAATATTTTACACTGATAATTTTCATACAAGGTGATTTAAGGATTTTTATCTCCTAAATTGTGATTTCAAACCTTTGTTCAAACGTGTGATAACTTGCCAATATTATCCTGATCAAAATGATAGAGTACCATTGACATGGTAGCCAAGATTAGGATTAAAATGATATGCAGATGAATATTCATTGCCTACATTTGATGACAATGATCAATAAAATAAACAAATTATAGAGATATTGTCTACTTATCATCAGATCTAATCGATATTTCAAGTAGGCCTCGAGTTGCTCACATGTTACCCAATGATTGACAACTGTATAGGCTTGTGTCAATATTTCTGTCATTTCAATAAGAGTTATGTCCTCTTAGTCACAGTGGTGCAACAGTTTTTCTACACTTATCTACTTCATGGACGTGACATCTCCAGTACTTGAAGATAAATTAGAATTCTCTTGTATCTGTGTTCTGCTTCTTTCTACCTCCTTTATTTTATTATCATGTCACATTTCTTTATTACAGACTCTTTTACTTGAGTAAATTGAGTGTAGAATACATGATCCTTTCCCAAAAATTTTCTAATGTAAACTATGACAGTGTAAAAGTAGGATGTATAGTTTGTCAAATTTGGTTTTATTGAATGAATCTGTTTTAAATCTAGCCTGCTCATTTTCAGTCAGCATGTTCTATCCCAGAAATATAAACTTGCTGATAGACAGTTTTCACTTTGTTGACTAATCTCGGACAGTCTCAGCTACCAAAATTGGACTCAAAGTTTCTCAGCAAGGGAACCACTCAGCCTGCATAAAGATAGAGTTTGTATAGAGTTTAGGAAACAAACTCTTATAGTGCTTTCAGATGACTAAATTTAAGGCAGCTGAACTGAACTATCAACCGTTCTTCAGCATCGTTTACTGTTTTTAGGTGAGCGTTCATGCTGACATAAAAGTTAAGCCAGCTTCAACATTACCTTGGAAGTTATGGGGAAGTTCAGGGTCATAGGTAATAATGGCGGGAATTTGTTAAGTGCAGAAATGACATAACTGGCTTAATGTTAGCCAGTAGTGCTCAGACAGCCAAATTAACTATATAAGTCAGGTTTTAAACCACCTCCAAAGTAGGTGCAAGTTAAGCCAGCTTAAGTTTAATCTGTCGCATGCAGAAGTCTACAAAAACTGGACTAGAGGAATGATTGATAGTTAACTTTAGTTGTCTGAACACACTATAAGATTCATTTTATTAGTGCATCAAGGAGCAGTACATCATGATGTGATCCTTTTTTCACCTTTTCAACCTTTTCAATGTTACATCCAAGTAGTACCATAAGGTAATTTGTAATGATACTGTTGTATTTGCTCTCAGTGGTACATGATCAAGTATTTGTTACCAAGATCAGTGTATTTTTAAGAATATTGTGATATGTTTAAGAGTGGTACAAAGTACTTGTAAAGAAATTTTAGCCACAAGACATTTTGATAAAGATTATACCTCACCCTATTGTAGTATTTACTATGTTATTTTATACTAATCTAATACTTCACTCTTCATCTTATTGGTATTTACTAGAAGGTCTAACTCATCTTCTCAGATATACCTTTATCTTCAAGTAGAACT